GAGCAGGGAGCCCGATGTGGGACTCGATCCCGGGACTCCAGGATCATGACCTGAGCTGAAGGCAGTCACTTAACCAACTGAGCCACCCAGGCGCCCCTCTCAGCTCAAGTCTTGATCTCAGTGTTTTGAGTTCAAGCCCTGTATTGGTGTTGGGGTGTGGAGCCTACTTAAACATAAATAAAACAAACAAACAAACAAATAATGTAACAGACCTCCATCTGTTTCCTCAGCGTGGTATTCAGGAACCTTCACCACTGACCTTTGATTTTTCCCTTCCACAAAATTCTCTTCATCAAAATCAACTCAGAGTAACTGCTGTTCTTAGACTGTTAAGTTTTCATGCCCCCCGCCCCCCCTCCGTTCTCTCTGCCTGAATTGTTCTCCCTTCCCAGTTCCCACCCATCTGACCATCTCAGCTCAATCAAACCTACTCTGTGACACTTCTGTGGGCCTGCCACAGGGATAGCTGTCCTTTTTTTTTTTGTAAGTTATAGCATTACTGCCCACTTGTTTTTTGAAGAGAAGTCTTTCCTTTGTATTCCTGACATCTAGCATGGTGCCTAGCATGTAGCTGCTGCTCAACAAATGTTTAATAAAAGAAGAATGAACAGAACAGGGGGTCTCAACCTCACCTCTAAAGCTAACCAATAACCAACACTATGCTTTAAAAGCATGAAAAGACTCCTTTAAATTATACATAATCGAATGCCATCTTTCCAGGTATGAAATACAAATATCTTAACTTAAAATCATTTTTCAGATTAGACCGATCACCTGGCAGGGAACCTAGAGAATGAGAGAACCATACTGGTAAAATTTAAAGTAGTGAGAATGGAATCCATAATAGGCCAGAGTATAAATACTGCCCAGGGGAGGCAGTATGGACACAAGAGCCTCTAAAGAAAGGACAGGGAGCACTGAAAAAAGGAGTGTTTGGGCAAACTGGAATTTAAAGTTTGTTTACTTTTTATTGAAGCCTGGGGATACACTAGACATCTGGTTTTCAATTAGTGAACTGATTACTGGGGTGGAGAAGCAAACGACAACCAAAACCCAGTCAACCTAACATGGGAGAAACAAAAAGCCTACTATACTGACTAGTTCTTGCTCTCTCTTTCCTACTTCTTTCAGTGTGAGGATGTATTAGGGACTGAATTGTGCCCTGCCCCCCTCCCCCCCATTTATGCGTTGTAGCTCTAACCTCCAATGTGACTGCATTTGGAAAAGGAGCCTTTAAGAAGTAATTAAGAATAAATGAGGTTATAAGGGTGGGGCCCTTATCCAATAGGACTGGCATCCTTACCTAAGAGGAAGAGATCGCAAAAGTGTGTGTGCACAGCAAAAAGGCCATGTGAAGATACAGCAAGTCTGTGAGTCAAGGAGAGAAGCCTCACCAGAAACCAAGCCTGCTAACACTTTGATCTTGGACTTTCCAGCCTCCACAACTGTGAGAAGATAAATTTCTGTTGTGTAAGTCACCCAGCTTGTGGTATTCCGTTCTGGCAGCCCTAATAGACTAACACAGGCTGTCATATGAATTCTCCTGTTAAAAATGTAAATTTAAGAGAATTCAGAACTAGAATCATCAGGTAACAACAAATAGAAATGTAAGGTATTATTAACTTGAATGAGTATTTAAATCCCATCCCCCATCCATTGGGCCAAAAAGCAGCTTTTAAGTCTAATGAAAAACTAAAATATAATTCTTTCCATGATGAGGCAAGGGTCGGAAGGGGGATAAAATCTTCCACAGTGAGGTGGAGGATAAACAAGAAAACTTGAAAAGGAGAACATCAAAGTGAGAAAGCTCCTAACACAAGAAACCATTATCTTCCCTCATACACATAAATTCTTGCTCCTTACCATTCCTTTGGGGCTCCCCAGATTCCTGCTCCTGCTGAATCTTCTTGGGATGGAGCTGTGCAGTCAGTGACTCATGGGGTCTTCCCAAGGGGGTCAACTTTTCCAAAAGTGTGTCCTGTCTTTCTGAATTGGCTGGGACCTGGGAACAATGAGGTATGATTGGCCTTGTAGATTTTGTGAAAGAACTTAAAGAACTTCAGAGAAAAGATCAAAAGAAGGATTTGCCAGGGACCAGGAACACAAATGGGAAAAAGTCTCATTCAATTGCAAATGGAAATAATGACTAAAAAAAGAAGAGTCAGAAACTAATCCCTACACTTCAGGCCACTGGAGAGTGAAATTCAGTCTTGTCTCACAGTGATCGCAGAGGTCCAGGATCAGTATTCTGACTTGGAAAGAACCTCAAAAATTATCTAGCCCAACCTTCACCAAATGGGGGCGTTTCTTCTCTAACTGCATTGTCCAGTATGATAGCTACAAGCACAGTGTGCTCACTGGGCGCTTGAAATGTGGTTCGTAGGAATGGAGATATACAAAGTGTAAAATACACACTGAATTTTAAGAACAGTACAAAAAAGGAATGCAAAATACCTCATTTTTTATATTGATTACATGATTATTTTGGGTTAACAATATTTGATTTCACTTGTTATTTTTTAAAATGTGGCTACTAGAAAATTTTACCTACACATGTGGCTCACATTGCAGTTCTTTTCGACAGTGCTGTTCTGTAATATCCTCGACACCTATTTGAACCCACCTTGACTATTTCCACGGAAAGGGAGGGTTTTTTTTTTTTCTTTTTTTAACCAGGAAGCCCATTTTTTAATAGAAAGGTACGAATGTTGGAGGATTCTTTGTTTACCTCTGTTACCTACTTGCCTTCCCGTAACTTCTCACGGATCCACCCTTACAAACTGCATCAGCTTCCTGGGTCTGTACCAGGTATTTGACACTGGCAGTCGGGTCCCTCCCTAAGCCTGTTCTTCTCTACGATAACCTAGCAAACGCCCCCAGGTGTTCTTTCACATGCTTTTTGTTTTGCTTTGGCTCGGTCCACACGCCCCGATCTCGCCCAGCCAAACGAGTGTCCCCTTCCCACCTGCTTCCGCGGTTCATCCAGCTCCCGCTCCAGATCCTCCAGCACAGTCACCGCCTCCTCGCCCGTCTGCGGGTGCTGCGCCTGCACCCAGGCCTGCAGGTCCCTGGGAAGAATGCTCAAGAACTGCTCCAGCACCAGCAGGTCTAAAATCTGCTCCTTGGTGTGGCATTCTGGCCTCAGCCACTGGCGGCAGAGCTCCCGGAGCCGGGTAAGGGCTTCGCGGGGTCCAGGCGCATCCTGATAGCAGAGCTTCCTGAAGTGCTGCCGGAAGACCTCCCTCCTGGGAGGGGCGTAGTTTGGGGAGACGGCGTCCCGTCCCCAGCGCTGCTCTTCTGCCTTAACTACTGCAAGTGCTTTTTGTCCTTCGGGTTCCGGGGCCGCGGCCATTGTGGGCTGGGAGATCAGTCCTCGCCGGGGCGGACTCAAGGAGAACCTCTCGGAACCGTGCTTCGGGGACGTCGTTACCGCGGAGATGACAAAAGCCGCCGTGAACACAGACACAGCTAATGAGGGAGCCAGGGCGAGAGGGGCACGGACTCACATCTGCGCTCTCACGAGCGCAAGCTCCCTCGGCCGGCCCGCGCGGCAGCGCTCGTCTGTCAGACTCTCCGTTCCCGCGGGGCTGCCGAGCAGCCGGCCCTCGTGTCCACAGCGCCGCGCGGAGGCTCGCTGACGGCACGCCCGAGAGGCGCAGCCCGCACGTCGGCGGCTGCGGGGCAGACGCCGCCTCGCGTTCTCCGCGTCCGCTCCCGGAGGCTCGGCCCTCGTCCTCCCCCGCGGAAGCGACGGACGCAGGGCGCACTCACGCGCCGCGGCGGCCACCTCCCGGCGGCCCCGAACAAAGGCTGGACTCCGGCCGACCAATGGGCGCCCCGCCGCGGGCCGCCGGCACTTCCGGCCGCTCTAGGAAGCCTCGCCTCGGTGGCCCCGCCCGCGGAGGACCGCGTGGACGAGCAGGCTGTGCGCGGGCCCGCGGGCACGTCCTCTGTTCTTTTTCTAAAACTTTTCCCGTCTCCAGAATTTTTTAGGTTTGCTTATTAGAAACGTAGTTCGAAAAAGTAAAGCATTCACACAGTTCAATATTTAAAAAGAGTCAGTGTCCTCAGCATCTAATTTTGGCAGCCTGTGCTTTTCGGGGCACGCGCACTGTTGCGTACACACGTCAGGCAGGTACATGTCACCCTCGCTGTCGTCCTGCACAAATGGTGGCATTTCTGCGCCTTGCTTGCTTCCTCCTAGCAACTAATATTGGAGATTGTGCATAAAGGGTTTCCTCGATCTTGCCTTTTTTTTTTTAAACAATTGCATAGTGTTCATTGTATGTGCCATCATTCATTAATAATTACCCCGTTGATAGGCAGGTTGTTGCCAATCTTTTTGAAACGCTGCTGCAATAAATTACTGTAAACATGTGTCTTTCTCATGTGTAAGGGTATTTACATAGTATATATTCCTAGAAATAGAATTACTAGAGTACAGAGTAGGGACATTTGTACTTTTGTTAGTGTCAAATTACCAACCATAGAACCTACTAGAGATGTTCCTGTTCACCTATACTTGTCAACACAATATCATAAGATATTTTGACGTTTGCCAATCTGATGGGTTAGAAATGCTTAGGTTTTTTTTCTCCCTCTTTCTCTTTCTTACACAAATATTGATTATTCACCTGCTATGCCAGGCACTGTTCTGGAAGCTGGAACTATAGTTTAAAGGAAAATAATACTCTTGACTTCATGGAATTTGTAATTTAGTATGTGTGCTTCTGCGTATGAGGTAGGGAGGCAGGCAATAAACAAGAAAAATATATAGTATATTAGATGGTGGATGTTAGTGCCAAGGAGAAAATGAAGGAAATGCAAAGTTTGGGGTGAGAATGAAGTAATGCAATTTTAAATAGGGTGGTCATGGAGGACCTCACTAGTACACTGACATTTGAGCAAAGACTGAGGGAGACGAGCGAGTGCATCATCAGGGGTAAAGCTGTTTCAGGGAGAGGGATAGCACATGCCCAGCCTGGAGTGGAGTGTGTTTGAAATATTCTAGGCACAGGAAGGAGGCTTGTGTGTCTGGAGCTAAGGCAACAAAAGGGTGTTGGGAGTAGAGAGAGGGAAAGATATGAGGGTCTCGGGTGAGTTCAAAGATACATTTGTTTTTTTACTCCAAGATGGGAAGTCATTCAGAATTTCTGAGCAGCAGAGTAACATGTTCAGATACAGGTATTGAAAAGAGTTTTCTGGCTGCTGTGTTAAAAATAAAGTTGTAAATGAAGGGGGTTGGACAAGGACAGAGCAGGGAGATAGGCTGGGAAGCTATTGCTACTTCGGAGTGGGGAGAGTTCTAAGCATGACATAAAACCCTAAAGACATATAACTGAAAACCCATAAAGGAAAAGACAGATGGACCTGGTGATGTAAAAATTTGGAATTTTAAATGAAAAAAATAAAAACTAACTTATAAGCTCAGCGTAAAATATGTCACCCATCTAAAAGACACAGGACTGATATTCCTAATACACAAAGACCTCTTACAAAAAATTAAGAAAAATACCACCAAGCCAATGGCAAAATTGGCAAACAACTTAGGTAAGCATTTATAGAACACAAATAGACAACATGAAAAGGTGCTCAAGTTCACTAATAAAGAATTTAAATTAAAACAATAACAAAAATTTTTTAAATTGTTCAGATTACTAAAGATAAAAAGATTGGTCATATTTAGTATTGGAAAGTGTGTGAAAATACTGGCACTCTTGGGTTGTATATTTTCAGAAGGCAAGACTTTAAAAGTCCATACCTCTTGATACAACAACTTAGCTTCTTGGAATTATTTATATAGAAATACTTACACAAAGGGCGACTGGGTGGATCAGTCATTTGAGCCACCGACTCTTGATTTTCGCTCATGTCATGATCTCATGGTCGTGAGATTGAGTCCCACTTGGGGGCTCTGCACTCATCAGGGAGTCTGCTTGAGATCTCTCTTCCTCTGCCCCTCCCCCAGCTCTTGAGCTCTAAAATAAATAAATAAATCTTTAAAAAAATACACAAATGTTCAAACATATACAAAGAAACATTGTTTATTTAAATTGGGGAAACCCAAATGTCCACATTTGGGAACTTAGATTTTTTATATCCCCAACTTTTTTAAAAGCTAAAAATTAAAAGATGCCAAAGGCATATTGAATAAAAAAAGTAAGTTACAAAACAGTATATGATTGTTTTTGTAGAATAATTATCTTAAGTGTGTGTGTGTTTTTTTTTTTAAAGATTTATTTATTTCTTTGACAGAGACACATCGAGAGAGGGAACACAAGCAGGGGGAGAGGGAGAAGCAGGCTTCCCACCGAGCAGGGAGCCCGATGCGGGGCTCAATCCCAGGACCCTGGGATCATGACCCGAGCTGAAGGCAGACGCTTAACAACTGAGCCACCCAGGGGCCCCAAGTGTGTGTTGTTTTTTAAGATTTTATTTATTTATTTTGACAGAAAGAGAGAGAGAGAGACAGCGAGAGAGGGAACACAAGCAGGGGGAGAGGGAGAAGCAGGCTTCCCACCGAGCAGGGAGCCTGATGCGGGGCTCAATCTCAGGACCCTGGGATCGTGACCCGAGCTGAAGGCAGAGCTTAACGACTGAGCCACCCAGGCTCTGTATACAATGGAATATTATGCAGCCATCAAAAGGAATGAAATCTTGCCATTTGCAACGACATGGATGGAACTAGAGGGTATTATGCTAAGCAAAATAAGTCAAT